CTGACTCTGAGAGGAGACACACACAGTCAGACTCTGAGAGGAGACACACACAGGCTGACTCTGAGAGGAGACACACACACTCAGACTCTGAGAGGAGACACACACACTCAGACTCTGAGAGGAGACACACACACAGTCTGACTCTGAGAGGAGACACACAGGCTGTTAGTGATGTTACAGCCAGGATGATCCTGACTCTCAGCCTGACAGTGAGTTTCAGATCAACACAGCCTCTTCGCTCACCACCAGAGCTGTGTGTGCACTGCAGTGTCTTCAGGGTAAGGTGACCTTCAGCCAGAGTGAAGCTGGGCTGTGTGGTGATCTTGAGAGGGTGAGAGCCAGGACCTGTGTGGGTGGGCTCTGGTCCCCCTGCGACCCCGGCGGCGGCGTGGTGACGTACCCATGACGGCGATGGCCTCGCTGGCCCGGGCGGTCAGCCCGGAGGCCGTGTTGCTGGCCCGGCAGGTCAGCAGGCCGCGGTCCCTGTGGGTGACCTGGCGGAGGGTCAGCGTGCGGCCCTGACCGATCGGGCTGCCCCCGAGCTCCCAGGCGTAGAGGCAGGGCGGGAAGCAGTCCGCCGAGCACGCAAAGGTGTAGTTCCCCCCCGCGGCCAGCAGGTGGGGCCCTGCCACAGTCAGCCACTGGGGTCCATCTGCAAAACAGGACACGGCGCTGTCCTCTCGCGGCGCAGGTACGCAGCGGGGAACAACCTGCAAAAGTCGTCTTCATACCGGGGTGCTGAGGCACAGCAGTTCTGACTCTGTCGGGGGGCGAACTGGGGTGCAGACCCACCCTCTGGATTTCATCCTTTTTCAAGAGTTGACAGGGTCAACACGAACCCTAGCAGGGAAGGCGAGTTGGGGGGGAGTAGGAGGGGGATGGGGAGTAAGAGAATGGGGCGACCAGGGGTGACCAGGCTGGCGCCCGAACGCCAGAAGGCCAGCAGCCGGACTCTCCGGGCCGGACTGTGAGATGGGAACACAGGGACTGGTCCCGCCCGGAGAGGGGTCGCTTACACAACCCCGCGCTGGCGCTGGCGGGGCTGGGACACAGACTGGGACACTCGCAGCAGTCTTGTGACACAGGGCGGGGCGGGGCACGTCCTGTGTACTCACAGGAAGGTACAGGAGGGTGCGTGACTCTCCATTGTGTGCCATGTGCCTCTGCTTCCCTCTTTGTGTTCTGTGCAAATATTGCTCTTGCAGCTGCACACAAAAGCCAGAGGTGTACAGAAGGCAGGGCCGCTGTGCAGGGGCGCGGGGCGCGGGGGAGGTCCTGCTAGACCTCGACTCCCTGAAAAACTGCACTGAGGACAGGTCACACATTCCAATCAGCACTGGGCTCTGCTGTGGCAGGGCAAGTCACACACTCCACACTGACCAATCAGCACTCAGCTCTGCTGTGGGAGGGCAGGTCACACAATTTACACTGACCAATCAGCACTGGGCTCTGCTGCGGGATGGCAGGTCACACACTCCCCACTGACCAATCAGGACCAAGCCCTGCTGTGGGAGGGCAGGTCACACACTCTCCCCTGACCAATCAGGACCAAGCCCTGCTGTGGGAGGGCAGGTCACACACTCCCCACTGACTAATCAGCACTTGGCTCTGCTGTGGGAGGACAGGTTATAGAATCTACTCTGACCAATCAACGCTAAGCTGTACTGTGGGAGGAAATGACATAGACTCACTGCTGACCAATCAGCACTCGACTCTGCTGTGGGAGGGCAGGTCACAGACTCTACACTGAACAATCAGTATATAACCTTGCTGCGGGTGGACAGGTCAGACACTCCCCGCTGACCAGTCAGCAGCTGGCAGCGTACTCACAGATCACTCTCAGCTGGTACTTGGCGCTGGAAATCCAGTGGGTGCCCGGGTCAGCCAGGCACTGGTAGACGGCATTGTCCAGCAGCAGCAGGGGGCTGAAGAAGACCGTGCTGTTGTCCGCAGAGAAGGTCACGGTGCTGGACGCAGTCAGGAGCAGGTCGTCCTTCACCCACTGCCTGGAGGTCACCTGTGCGCCGGACACGTTGCAGGTCAGGCTGAAGGGCTGGTCAGCGATGGGCAGGGCGTGAGCAGGCTGGATGGAGACGGTGGCGTTGGGATCTGGGGGGGGAGGGGCAGCTGTGATGGACAGTCATGTGAAGGGTCAGCTAGTGCTACAGGTCACCTGTCTCTAAGGGCTGGGAGCAGCTGTGAGGGACTGAGGGATTAAACCAGCAACCTGATCAATTAATACAACACCCGTGAGCTGCTGGTTAATTAATCTGACAACCTGTTCAATTGTTCAATTAATACAACACCTGTGAGCTGCTGGTTAATTAATCTGACAACCTGTTCAATTAATACAACACCTGTGAGCTGCTGGTTAATTAAGCAGGCGAGCTGTGCAATAGAGACAGCTCCCGTGAGTTATTGATTAATTAAGCTGGCAATGTGGTCAATTAAGACAAACGTGTGAGTTATTGATTAATTGAGTGATAGCTCAGATTAAGGCAGTCTGGTCCTGCAGGGCTGATGGGTAATGCTTGGTATCTCCCCAGGAAGCCCTTGCTGTCCGCAGCAGCGCCCCCTACCTGCCACAGTGATGACCCTGAACACCCGGACGGACAGTCCAGTCCCGGAGCTGCTGGCCTCGCAGGCCAGGACACCGTTGTCAGTGTAGGTGACCGGTCTCATGGTGACCACGCTGCCGTTTGCCACCTGGACCCCGTTGAAGAACCAGGTGTAGCTGCAGGGCGGGTGGCAGTCCGCGGAGCAGACGAGCTCAGCGTCTCGGCCGGCCGTCACTGTGTCCGGCCCCTTGATGACCACCCGCGCAGGTCCGTCTGTGAGACACACGCCGGACAGACGGTGAGCCTGTGAGGGAGCCGTGTGAAGAAGCTAGAAGGTGTCAGGTATTGTCAGGTGTTGTGGAAGGACAGATCACTGACCCCACATTGACCAATCAGCACTTGGCTCTGTTGTGAGAGGGCAGGTCACAGACTCCCCACTGACCAATCAGCACTTGGCTTTGCTGTGACAAAACCGTGACCAGTGACCAATCAGTATTTTGCTTCGAGAGGAAAGGTCACAGCTTCTACTGACTAATCAGCTTTCAGGTATTTAATCATCCAGTCCAGGGGGCTGCAGTAAATGGTACTGGGAGGGCAGTGTGGGTGTCAGCTGTGCTCAAGCAGTGCAGCCATGTGACCCCATGATCTGAGCATGCCGGGTACGACTCCAGAGAGGCAGTGACACCGGACGTGCTCGGCTGGGGGCTCCAACTGCAGAATCAGCCTGCAGAATTCCCGGCCGGATTGTGACAGGAGCTGTAGAACATGACTGTTTACTTTTACGGGGAGGCTTATCAGCTGTAGGAAAGGACGCCCTCTTCCTTCTGCACCATTTCACCTCAGTAGCAGGTTTCCTATTGTGTCCCCAGCTGGAGCAACCTTGACAGCTTTCTGTCCCTCCTTCCCCTCCAGCGTTGGGGGGCCGAGGGTCTCAGGGCCATGCAGAATACTCACAGGGGCTTGGGGTCAGGGGTCGGCTGGTCTGATCCTCCTCCTGGGACGCAGCCCCTGGGAGAGGGTGGGGAGGGAGAGGCAGACATTAGTGCCCGAGAGTCGAAGGCACAGCGCCGCTCAGATCAGAGCTCTTGGTCCGCTGGCTGGCATCTGGACCGTTCTGGGCTTCCCTGTGGTGAAGAGGTCTGTGTCGTGTGGCAGGGCAGGCTCACCCACTGCCCACAGCCTGCCCACTCCTGGGCCAGCACCGCAGCGCTGTGAGAGAAATACACACGCCACGCAGGTGAACACATACCGCAGCTCTTGTTGTGTTAGATAAACATATACGACAGTGTGTGTTGTGCTCAACAAATACACAGACTCCTGTGTTAGAAGGCCACATACAGGTGTGTGTTGTGTTGCATGGACACACACAGGTGTGTGTTGTGTTAGATGGGTATGCACAGGTGTGTTGTGTTAGATGGCTACACACGGGTATGTGTTGTGTTAGTTTGCTACTCCTGTGTGAGACAGGAGCTGTGTGATGGGAGCTCTGTGCTCATGGGTGACAGGGATATCTTACCTTCCAGAGACAGGAGCAGCAGGGTGACAGGAGCAGCAGGGTGACAGGAGCTGTGTGCTCACTGGTGGCTGGATGTCTTACCTTTCAGAGCCAGAGACAGGAGCAGCAGGGTGACGGGAGCAGAGCGTCGGGGATCCATGAGGTGTCAGCAGGACGGAGGCCGAGCCAGTGTGCACCTGACAGGTTGGGCCTCTGCTCTTATATACCTCTGACTGCAGAACAAACAGCCTTATCGGGGCAGGGACACACCGGGGCAGGGACACAGGGATACTGGGGCAGGGACACAGGGACACACCGGGGCAGGGACACAGGGACACAGTGGAGCAGGGACACAGGGGCACAGGGACACAGTGGAGCAGGGACAGAGGTGCAGGGGAGCTTGCTGGGATAGTACCTGTCTGCCCCTCCATCCACACATCTGTCTGTCCATTATAAGAAAGCCACTTATTCCAGCAAGGGCTGCGGAACATGGGAACGATTCCCAGGAACACAGGGCACGAGGCAGGATAGGGATGTAGATTTGGGACAGAGCAGGGCCAGCTGGTCCCGGGACCTCTGTCCTGTCAGACTCGGGACAGACTCGGGGCGGGGCAGGGCCAGCTGGAGTGTTGTCTCTCACACCGTCGGTCACAAAGTGTCAGTTCTTGAGACATTCCTGTAAATCTCCTCCATCTCCGAGCCAGTGACAAAGTCTGTCCAACAGACTCCTGGAACCTGCTGGACATTTTGGAATCAGATCCGGTTGTCAGACTGTTTCTAGCAGTTTTGCAGTCTGTGTTGGTTTAGGTCATCGGCCTATAAATCTAACTCATCCCTGTGGATCCGGAGGTGTGTTCCAGCAACTGAATTACTATTTACTTTTCCTAAAAAGAGCTCCGTGATGGCGTTAGTCTAGAAGCCTGTGGTCAGGGCAGTTCTGCTTTGTAACCGAGTCTTTGTTAGACTGCGCTGTTCCTGAATTTGGCTTTCAGTTCCTCTGAGGCCAGGCTGACTCGTGAGGTTCCAGCGCTGCTGCAGGGGCTGATAAGCCCCAGAAACAGCGGCGTTACTGGAAATCTTTATCGCCTCCGGCCCAGACTGACAACTTTGGCTTTAACTCCCTCTCTCTTCTCTCTGCTGCTGCACGCGGGCGGTTTAGAAACCGGACTCCCTCTGTGCGCCTCAGAGAATCAGGAGGTGTGCCCCCCCTATAGAAAGCGCAGCTGCCCCCTGGGAGAGGCGGGGGTCTCGTTTCTGTGCACGAGCTGTCTCACTGACCCCCCTCCACCAGCAGCAGGGCCGAGCAGTGCAGCCCTCTGCCCAGCAGGGGCGCCCCTGTTACCCCCAGACAGTGGTCCAGCAGCGGGTAGTGGCGTCTCCCCAGGCAGGAGCGAGTCTAGACAAAGAGCGAGTTTCTATGTGACCTGAAGCACTCCCTCTTCTCGGTCGTCGCCTTGTGAAACATTAATGGTGCGTCAGAAACAGGAGCCCCATTCACCGAAAGCGCAGTAAAATGGCTCTTTAATGCCCTTTTTACGATGTGTGGGCGCAGGGAGTTCCCAGCTCTCCGGCAGTGTTGTGCAGGGCTCGGTGACGTCTCCTGAGCCGAGCCCCAGCCACGCCCCCTGTTCTTACAGCTGGAAGAGATCCGTTTTCCCTGGGGTCATTAGCACCAGCCTCCTGCCTCCTCTGGGCACCTGGCGCATGCGGGTGGGGTTGTCTCCAGTGGGGTCAGCAGTCCCACAGCACTGAAACACTTTTTCCTAAACTGTTGAAGAAACATCAGCCTCATTCCTGCTGCAGCCTGGTTTGAACCTGTGGCTGCTACTTCCTCTTTCCACCTCTTTATCAGGTCTAACAGGGCTGTGTGTGATCGCAGTCTGTACACCTGTCTTCTCTCTCTTGGCCAGCAGGTGGCACTGTCTGATCACAGTCTATACACCTGTCCCTCTCTTAGGTAAGACTGTCTGATCACAATCTGTACATCTGTCTTCTCTCTCTTGGCCAGCTGGTGGCACTGTCTGATCATAGTGACCAGTAAAATACTGTCAATAACTCAAACTTAACCAAACCGCTGATACAAGACCAAGATACAAGACTCGAGTCATGTTTATTTTTAACGGAGGCCTGACCTGCTGCCTGCCTGCCCAGTATCTAAAGCAAACTGGCAGTGACTGGTGGTGCTCAGGAGACCCCTGGGCAGCAGCCAGAGCAGCGAGGCGCTGGAGGACGACTGAAGGGCGCAAAACAGACATATGAAGTGTGTGACTCCCGGCCTTGAAGCTGTGAACAGCTCAGTGGTCAGGGAGCGGCAAGCACTGAGCTGTGGAGCCCAGAGTGGCCAGGGAGCTCTGTGGAGCCCAGAGTGGTTAGGGAGCTCTGTGGAGCCCAGAGTGGCCAGGGAGCTCTGTGGAGCCCAGAGTGGTCAGGGAGCTCTGTGGAGCCCAGAGTGGTTAGGGAGCTCTGTGGAGCCCAGAGTGCTCAGATACAGACACACACATCGGTGTGTGTCTGTATCTGACCACTCTGGGCTCCGTGAGAGATACAGACACACACATCGGTGTGTGGAGCCCAGAGTGGTCAGGGAGCTCTGTGGAGCCCAGAGTGGTCAGGGAGCTTTGTGGAGCCCAGAGTGGTCGGGGAGCTTAAATAATAATGTGAAATAATACTCAGATATCTTTGCAGGGCTTGAGACAATGGCTCTGTTATTCAGGCCTTTCTCAGGAAATTGTGAGAGATGTAGAAATACCAACCTTCCTGTAAGACAAATTGACACACATCGGTCCCCGTGAGAGATACAGACACACACACACACATGAGAGGTCCCCGTGAGAGATACAGACACACACATCGGTCTCTGTGAGAGATACAGACACACACACATATCGGTCTCTGTGAGAGATACAGACACACACACATCTAATAACACTGCTGCTGGTTGTAAACTGATATGTGAGCACCAATAGCTCAAGGCCTCTGAAACTTCTTCTGTTTTTGTGCTCATACTTCCCTATGATTCCAGGAACAATAACCTTCATGTCCCAGGGGAAAGTCCAGCATTCCCCTGCTGATATGCGTTTCCGAGCACGTCACGGGACATGGGCATTGACCACGTGTGTCTGTGATAGCTCAGTCTATCAGTTCAAAGTTTAATTGCAGGCACAGTGTCAACAGAGCGCAGCTCTAGACTGAAAGAAATGTTCCTGTAACCTCAATCACCTTAAGATCATTGTTCTCTTTCTCACCTTGTGTCTGCCACTCCCTCTCTCCACTCAGCTAGTACACTTCCTCTTTCCCTGGCCCTGTCATTGTCTCTCCACCCTGTGTCTCTGTCTACATTCTCTCTCACCTGTCTCTCTCTCTCTCACCTGTCTCTCCCTGTGTGCTTTCTCTCTCACCTGTCTCTCTCTCTCTCACCTGTCTCTCCCTGTGTGCTTTCTCTCTCACCTCTCTCTCTCTCTGTCTACCTTATCTCACCTGTCTCTCTGTCTGACTGCCTTGTCTCTCACCTGTCTCTCTCAATTCAGTTCCATTCAAGGCGCATTATTAGCATGACCGATGGGTAAGACCAGTGTTGCCAAAGCAAATAAAAATAATGAAATTCACATGAAACAAAACAAAAAATAAAAGTAAAATAAAATCTACAGATATTTACAACAAAGACATATCATAAAATATATATATATACTGTAAATATTACATATACTGTAGATATTTACATATACTGTAAATATTTACATATACTCTCTATCTCTCTGCCTTGTCTCACCTGTCTCCCTTAATCTCACTTCTCTCTCTCAGTAAGCCCTGTTGCTTTATCTGTGTACCCTTCCCCTCCTCTCTGCTTCTCCACTGTCCGGCTCAGCTCAGTCTTCACCTGTTCTCAGAGTGGACCAGCTCACAGGGGGTAGAGGGCTCCCACACTGCTCTCTGCTCTCTCCTGCCCCCTGTGGGTCCCTCCACTCCCACCTCTCCCACTTCCGTCTCCACGGTAACAGTCAGCATTGCTCACACTTACACAATGGCTCTGTTATTCAGGCCTTTCTCAGGAAATTGTGAGAGATGTAGAAATACCAACCTTCCTGTAAGACAAACAGACACACACATCGGTCCCCGTGAGAGATACAGACACACACACATCGGTCTCTGTGAGAGATACAGATACACACACATCCGTCTCTGTGAGAGATACAGACACACACATTTGTCCACGTGAGAGATACAGACACACACACTTGTCCCCGTGAGAGATGCAGACACACACACATCGGTCCCTGTGAGAGATACTGTACAGACACACACATCGGTCCCTGTGAGAGATACAGACA